TTATATAGCCAAATAGCTTACTTGTTCTGACTTTGGCCAAACCAAGACTCTGTACTCGACAGTCTAGAGATTAGTTTAGAGTTGAATCTGTGGGAAATTGCTTCCTACAAAGTTTCGAACAGTAACTCATCAAAGTTTCGTACATTGGGTACCTATGGAGAGTCGTAAAACTGATCATATTCCTGAATTGTCTCCTCATTATTCAGAAACCCATAGTGATGACCAGCTCGGAGGAAATACCTACCGAATAGATCCCTTGTTAGAGTTAGAATTAGCTAAAGTACGTTTAGCTCAGACAGAAAAAGAAATCGAGCTAGAACGGTTACGCCAAAAAGGAAGAGAACATTATGATCAAGTTATGGTTGACAAGGCGATGACGTATGAGTCTACATCTGTCGTCGATGTTCCTCCTAGAAAAGACTGGGTAACAATGATGTCTAGAGCTTTAGACCTACCAAAGAAAGAGATTATAAGGTTTGATGGTAACCCTATGAACTATTGGAGCTTCATACGGAATTTTCAGGATTGTTTTGACGAGAGCATCGGGTTCCGATCTAGGTTAAACTATTTGATCCAGTACTGTGATGGTGAAGCTAAAAACACTATTGTTCATTGCGCATTGCTTGAGCCAGAAGAAGGCTATCGTAAAGCACTAGAACTTCTCGAGGAAGCATTTGGTCAGAAGCATATAGTAGCCCATGCTTTTATTGATAAGATGCTGAACATCCCTGCCATTAAAGGGACCGATCCATATAATTTAAGAAGGTTGTCTCGTGAGATGCATATTTGTGAGCTAACACTCACGCAGATGAACTATGTATCTGATCTTAATTCTACAAAGACTATCGAATGCATGTTTTTAAAACTCCCTTTATACCTGCAAAGAGAATGGGTTAAAGTTGCGTGTAGAATTCTTAAGACAGGTAGAGAACCTTCATTCAAGGACCTTTGTGAATTTGTGAAAGAGCAGTCGGACATTGCTAATACTAGGTACGGCTTACTTGTCAACCACGGTAGTAATAGTGGCAATAAAGATGTTGGTGTTTTAAAAAGGAAAATTAATACAGATTACAATGCAGCAAGAATATCTTATGCGAGTGCTAGTGATGATAATGCTCTCTTACGCAGTTCATCTTGTTTGGAGTGCTCCAGTAATCATTCTTTAGATCAATGTCAGAAATTTAAAGACAAGAATGTTAGAGAAAGGAAGGAATTCGTTCTTAGACACAAGTTGTGTAATGTATGCCTGAAGGCAAACCACGTAGCAAAAAACTGTCGATCGCCGAGGTCGTGTGCTGTCGAAGGGTGTGGCTGGAGACACCATACCCTGTTACATGAGTTGCGGGAAGAACCAAGGAATACTAATATTGATGCACACATTAACACCCAGCTATGTACGGAGAAAAGTGTAGAGAGTGTACAGAAACAAGCAGCATTCGCAATAGTGCCTGTACTGGTAAGAAGTGGAGAAAAGGTAGCACAGACTTGCGCCTTCTTAGATAGTGGGTCGGATGCCTCTCTTATTACAGAAGATCTAGCTAAAAGGCTGAATTTAGAAGGAGAGCCTAAGACGATTTCGTTGAAAACGTTGGATAACCATTCCACAATTCAGTGTAAAGAGGTTCAACTAGAGGTTTCATCCTTAGACTCGTCTTCGTCATTTAGAATCCCAAACGTATGGACAGTCGAGAGATTACCTATGTTGCGCAGGACGGTACCAACGACGTCTCAAATGAAATCCTGGACGCATTTAAAAGACATAAGTTTTCCTAGAGTAGAGGATGAGAATGTCGAACTGTTGATCGGGTGCAATGCACCGAGTGTACACGAAATGAAAGAGGTAAGAACTGGAAAGCCGAATGAACCATTCGCCGTGAAGACTCCATTAGGTTGGACGCTGTTCGGTTCCTATGGGGAACCCTGTAAAAGCAATCGTGTACTCAATCACCTCTCAGCTAAAGAGGAATTAGAGGATAAGTTCGGACAGTTGTACTCAACTGAATTCAAAGATCCATTTAGTCGTACTATATCGATGTCTGTAGAAGATCGTATAGCACTCAGTGCTATATCACATTCAGTACAAAGGTTAAACGGGCACTATCAAATAGCTCTACCTTGGAGGCACAACCACAAGTTACCTAATAACAGAAGGAATGTTTTATCGCATGTAGCATCTATCTTTGATCCAATTGGGTTTGTAGCCCCAATAATATTACCGGCTAAAGTGATCTTACAAGATACCTGTCGTCAGAAACTAGACTGGGATGCCGAGTTACCCGTAGATTGTCAAACAAAGTGGAATAATTGGTGTAGACATATAAAAGGGTTAGACCACCTAAGAATATCAAGGTGTTTGAAACCAGGGTTTGAACCATCATCTGCGCAAATTCATTGTTTTCCCGACGCCTCCGAGCTTGCGTATGGTGTTGTTGCGTATATTCGTTATAAAAGTGTTTTTGGTCAGATCCATTGTTCATTCTTGCTAGCTAAGTCTAGGGTTGCTCCTCTAAAACTTGTTACTATACCCAGAATGGAATTAACGGCCTGTGTTTTGTGTGCTAAGATTGGAAGGCATGTAAGGGAACAGTTAAGTATCCCCATTTCGTCAGTTATTTATTGGACCGATTCGACAGTTGTGCTTCATTGCATAAGAAATACGACTAAGAGGTTTGAAAGGTTTGTGAGTAACAGGTTAGAAACTATACACGAGTTGTCTACGCCAAGCCAATGGAGATATGTGAAAGGTAAATTGAATCCTGCAGATCACGTGTCTCGTGGATTATCACTAAATGATAAAGCTAAGGTAAGAGAGTGGTTACAAGGGCCGAGATTCTTGTGGGAGGAAGAAAATAAGTGGCCTAACCTAGAAAAGATTGAGAACACTATAGCCCATGTATTGACAGAGGATTTCGGACTCCCAAGACACGATGATGAGTTCCTAGATCGATTTCGTACGTGCAAGTCGTGGTCCAGACTTCTAAGGGTATTTTCATACTGCAGACGGTTTATCAATAATATGTTAAACAAGAGGAACGGAAATCGTCTAACCTTAGGCGCGCTAAGTGCTGAGGATATCGAAAATTCGAAGAGTGACATAATTAAACTAGTCCAAAGTGTCGCGTACCCGACCGAAAAAAGAATTCTAAACAGCTCACCGTTGACGCTCGGAGAAAACGCTTTTAGACAGCAAAAAGGTCAAGAAGCAATGGACGAGGTGAACAGGAGAAAAAAATTAATTCGTCAAAGTTCTATAAGAAATCTCAACCCTTTTATGTTTGAAGGCAAAATCCGCGTGGGAGGACGTTTGCAGTTATCATGTTTACCATTTGAAACCAAATATCCGATTATTCTTCCTAATAATCATTTTGTTACAGATATGATTATAATGCGTTATCATGTAATTAACGCACATGTTGGAGTTACTCAAACTCTGAGTAGTATTCGTGAGAAGTATTGGATTGTTAGAGGATATTCTACTGTTCGGAAGGTTCTAAAACGATGCTATTTATGTAGAAGACTTTATCCCAAACCATGTTCCCAATTAATGGCACCGTTGCCGGAGTACCGAGTAGAGACTCATTCACCACCCTTTAGTCAAGTAGGCGTGGATTACTTCGGACCGTTCTATGCCAAACGTGGTAGAGTTGTCGAGAAACGTTATGGCTGTTTATTCACCTGCTTATCTATTAGAGCCGTTCACATCGAAATGGCCTACTCTTTAGATACGGATTCATTTCTATGCGCATTATCAAGATTTATTGCCAGAAGAGGATGTCCAAAACGTATTTTCAGCGATAACGGCACAAACTTCCGAGGTGCAGATGTCAGTTTGAGACAGATTATACGCTCCTGGAATACTAATAAAATAGAAAACCATCTTAAAGAACGAGAATGTGAGTGGCGTTTTAACCCACCCAGAGCAAGTCATCGAGGTGGTGTGTGGGAACGCATCATAAGATCAATTAGAAGAATCTTAAGAGTGCTTTTATTCCAAAACGTGTTGACCGATGAAACTCTGCAAACTTTTTTAACTGAGGCGGAACGGATACTGAATGACAGACCTCTGGTTAAGATGACAGATGACCCTGGTACCCTAGAAGCTCTTACTCCGAACAAGTTGTTGTTGATTCATAAAAAACTATCATTCGACGATGCTTCGGTGGATAAGACGTTATTATACAACAAAAGATGGAAAGAAGCTCAAAGACTAACCACCGCATTCTGGAATAGATGGATAAAAGAATATTTACCGACTCTCCAAGCAAGAGACAAATGGTTGGGCTTACACAAGAACTTACAACCGGGTGACTTAGTCCTCGTTAGTAACGTCGAAATGAATAGAGGTCTATGGCCTAAGGCTATAGTCGAGCAAGTAAGCTATGGCCCGGACGGACGAGTCCGTACGGCAAGGTTGAGAACTTCAAACGAAGAAATCGTCAGAGATGTGCGAAGCCTATGTCTGCTGGAAGAAGCCGGTTGTCTGACGGCGACGACGGCCCTGGACAATGGACGTGGTGCGCGTTTCGGGGGGAGTGTAAAATGTGATCGATAAACGAACCCACCAATAATAAAGGGAAACGCCCACCACCACATTAACTCCCTTTGACCTTGTACGACTGTATCTTTTTATTAACCAATCACAGTTTAATGTTCATTGTAAGACAATTTTGGCTTGTTGACTCATTTTTCCTATTCTCTAGCTACTGTTCGGTATGTTATCTGTCTCTGTTTTTCTTTGTATTAATAGACTGTACTGTTCGTTTGCACACTAACGATGTTAATTTATGTTTTAGAAACAGATAAAGTTTATATAGCCAAATAGCTTACTTGTTCTGACTTTGGCCAAACCAAGACTCTGTACTCGACAGTCTAGAGATTAGTTTAGAGTTGAATCTGTGGGAAATTGCTTCCTACAAAGTAATTTAGTTCACAAGTGAGAAAATAATCGTAAATACTTTCTATATTCCTACAAGTTCAAAATACTGAACAAATGATAATGAACGGATTGATTGAAAGGGAGACCAAGATGTAATTGAGTATAACAGATATACACAAAACCGTTATGATGGTACAAGACAAAACAATGAAAGCTTTAGGAATTACCAAAATAATCATAATGAAGTGATCCCACTAATGGTGATAATAATACTAACAATAACAATCATAATTGACGAGAGTATGAAAAAAACGAAAGTGTTTCAATATTTATGTCTTCATAAGAGGTCAAACAACCTATTGAATAGTGTTAGAATCATAAGCCTAGTTATAATAACCATAAATTAGAAATGAAAATTTCACCAAAGTGAACAATGAAAGTATTATTGTGATTAAATAGGGGTGAAAAAGGCTGTACAGTATCATCACAACAGTTTTGCACATATCTGCTATACTCAATTAATTACATCTTGGTCTCCCTTTCAATCAATCCGTTCATTATCATCTGTTCAATATTTTGAACTTGTAGGAATATAGAGAGTATTTACGATTATTTTCTCACTAGTGAACTAAATTACTTTATATATATTACACACAAAATTACATTTACCGAAATATTTTGTTTATTTATCTAAATCAATGCGTGTGTTGAAGATGAAATGAATTCACTTCGTGCCACAATGTTTGTTATTCTCGCTTTACAAAAATTAAGTTTATTCTATTCAAAACAGTTAGTCACTTTGATAAATTTCGATAATGCGATCAGAAAACTAAGACTATCGGAATTACGTGGTATATTTCCGCAATACATTTCGAACAATCTGATCATACATATACTTGTTAGGGCATTTTTATATGAAAAGCAAGAGGTCAACTAGATGGATTAAAGGGAGGCAGTAACAAAGAATAATAAAGTACACAAAAACAATGTACTAACCACTTATGGAATCTAAAAAGCCACTTGACGTTATGTTACCACTTAGAGGTGACTCAAATAATCTCATGTTCAAACGGAGACCTAAGTTAACCGTCAACAAGACATTTTATGCAGCCCAACTTGACATTATTGAAAACACAAGGTCTATGTTTCACCGAAAACCAAAACAGCACGTAAGCGATTGTGTCGCATCTCATTGTGTCTATCAATTAACATGTATGTGAGAAAACACGTACTTGGGGAGGAGCAATTGTGACCTGCAAGCAAGGGCGACAGAACACATACGCAAATGGCTGCAGAAAAAAATGAATTCCGATGGTCAAATAAGATCACGTGATAAACCGAATTCTTCCTCAATTGCGAGACATTTGGCTGAGACTGGTTATAAGGTTGATAACAAGTCAGACTTCGTAGTGTTGTACAAAAACTTTCAAGGGCCTATTCTAAGATTTATTGAAGCCTTGGCTATTCGGAAGCTGAATCCCCTTTATGTGTTCAAAAACAATTTGTTCTTACCCTTAACCTACCCTGATAATACTGGTTTATTATCCAGAGTGTTTTTGTGTACTTTATTTTTCTGCTATTCATTGTTTATAAAAATCGTTTACAAGACCCAGACATTATGAGATGATGAACAAGTTCAACCAAGTGAATAAAGCGTTTAACGTTACTCTAAGGAAGCAGATATATATATATTTATTTAAATTAAATTTATAATAGTGGAATATGTTGTCAAAATTTAGCTAAATAGTAAGTAATGTTTTGTCATTGAAAGTAATTCAAAGTATTTTGTCATATTGTTTTCACAAGAAAAAGTAGATTTCATCTAGTTAGAAATTTTAAGCATCTTAGTATTTCAATCTATCTGAAGAATCAAAAAATAGCTACCTAATAATTTTATGTTTGTTTACAAGGATAAACAAACTTGGATTTAGAATATTTCGAGAGATTAAAACAGCTTGAAATCTTATATTTGAGAGGAGAAAAACGTAACGCCGATGCAAAGTTTGTTTAGACTGATAAATTTGCCCTCGGACCTAATCCATATGATCTTAGGATCTATAAAGCATATATCCTCAAAATATTTCATTTATACTTATTCACTTATTCATTACAACAAGTCGTTATAGAGACTCAACTTATCAGTCTTTATTTTCGATTCAAATGTAGTTTATTTAATCGTTTTATATCATTCGATAGAAATAATTTATTACTTCAATTTCAAATGATCATAAACCCGCATTTGAAAAATACTTCATTCATTTATAGGTGCTTCACGAAAAAGCGATTGTTGGCTAGCTGAAACGTAACTATACTCATATCCTTTTACAAATAAAGAACTTCTACGTTTTCTCTATAAGCATTTGAATTTTCCTGTAGTTGATATCGACTGAGATTAATTAGGTTTTCTGGGCAAAAGTAAATCCTGATAGGATCTCCTAAATATTTCCATTAGGTCAAAAGCAATTTTCGGAAATGCTTGATATTGGTCAGGGGTAGAATGCATAACATGTGTTTTATCCTGTTTGAGATTCATGAATTGAATGCAGCTGTATCCCAGTGTACGTGTTGACACACAGACTCGAACCCGATGCCTTTCTCTTTGAACGCACAGTGTCACAAGTCAATGGGTAAATGGAATCAGTAACTAAGTGGACAAGGTGTCGAGCGTTTTAGTCATAAGGCATGAACATCAAGATTGGTGAGCATATGTATCCAACTGATGAATCCAAAATAAGACGAGTCTGGCCTCCTGGATCTTATTGCTAGGCACAACGAAACTCTATTAATAGTTTTATATATGAATGGAAAATATTATCTTGTGAGAATCGTCAACTTACCAGCACCAAGTTTATACCAAGAATACAAAATATAAGAACCAATAAGTATAGCTCCAACGGGATCTAAATACTTAAGATTTTCGTATTGTTCTTTAAATAGGAAAAAGAGAATAAATCGAGTCAGTTCATATATATATATATATAATTGTACAGTGAAACATTGATCTTTGTAGCATTTTTAATGAATAGATAACATTGTAAAAACAATCGATTACTTTGACCAAATGAATTCATAATGAACAACGAGTTGTTGAAACAATTACAACATTGTAAAATGGAAATGCACATTCATATCAGATGGATTAATACACTAAGTACATGCATGATCAGTGTACATTAAAAATAAAACTCTGCTCACATGCTAATTTCAATGAAATTAATTTATTTTTAAATTTAAATGAAAAACTGAACAGATAAAAAATGTACAAACTTTTCATTCCATTATCTATTGACGTTTTCCCGGTGACTGAAGCTCATAATCTAAAATGTCACTTAGAATTTCCTTTTGAGTCCTTTAAATATTGTTTGCCAATATCTGACATCAAAAATTCCGGTTGATCTATCTTTAGATTGTTATGAAACATTTCGATTGGATAAAAGAATGATCTTTTTCCATAAAAATACTTTCGTCAGATTTATACAATTCAATGACATAAAATCTGAGTTACGTCGCAACGGTAATACAATAAATTACATTTTATATCCCTACGATATTTAATTTACTAGTTCTGATTAAAGATTTTTGAAAATACGCCAAGCAAACTCACTGTGTCCCACATTGTCTTATTCAAGACTTTTATGAATTCCAGTTTAAATAAAAGCAAAAGCGGTGAGAGACTTAAAAATACATGTGATCTTCTCAAAAAGAACGTTTTAAAGTAGCATATGAAAGTTTATATAACAATTTTCCATGTTTCAACGTTTGTTTCACAAATTTAATTTCTGTGTAAAAATCAATATTTTTGAGTCAACTTTAATATTTAAATACATTTTGAAGGCCAGTGATTATTTGCATGACAATGAAATAATTTCCAGCAGAAAAATAAAACTCAAGTGAAACAAAATCGAACGATTATTTAAATTTATTCAAATTTAAAGCAATTAGCTCCTTTGATAAATTTCGATAGTACAGTAATCTTCGCCTTCATTCTACATTATCTAAATTTATTCACTTATGTTATACATTTTTATTAGTAATTTCCAATGATTTTGTACTCATGAAAAATGTGAAAACCCATTTAAACTGTTCTTTATTGAAAACAAGGAATATAAATCATGTTCACTGTATAAAATAATTAAGTGTTAAACAAGTAGAACAAGGAAACAATGAATTTATTTAGTGATCCGTTGGTTCATTAAGTAAATTATATGATTAATAAATAGCTTGTGTCTGTCTACAGAATATTCTGTTTCATAAATCTTCACTGTTGAAATAACTTGTAGTCATTGGCAACCATGTTGTTCAGTATTGAAATAAATGTAACAAAGTAAAAAGAAACGTGAATAGAAGAGAAAATCAGGAAAAAGCGTATCATACATTTCGTAGAGCTTTTCATGGTGACTTGGTTGTATCACATGTTAACATTCAAACTAGCACAACCGGTTTGCTTTTATTAACCTACTTACAACTATAAATTATTAGAAATAGTAGGTCGGACTATTTTAAATGTTGCTTTTGTTTTAACTATTTTCATTTAATCAAATCAACACATTTAACTTACAATGATGTAAATAAATGAGAAATTTCTTTTATAAAAACGAACAATAGTAAATTATGATCTAAATTATATGGATTTTATGGTTCCCTATCTGATTAGCTATTATTATTTGTTCACTTTCTATATAAACTGATTACCTAAAATGAATCAATGCTACTCGCATGTAGTAGTCTAGTGAATTGAATTTACACATTCTTTTTATCCAAGCATCTTATAACATTGCTTTATATTACGTAACAAATATTCGGTTTCAGTTACATAAGATCATATTAATTATTATATTATTGACAAAAGAATTCAGATTTCAATATCAATAGAAGCTTAGTTGTAATTCAAATATCAGTAAAACAAGAATCCCTCAATTCATACAAATTTCTACTGTAACATAAACTCATAAGCTTTATTAGACATATGTATTATATAAATGACAGAAAAGGTGAGAAATCGTCATTAAAGGTAAATACTTTTGTTTTTAACAAATTCATGATGACTGTTACAGGCAGTTTATACATCTTTATCAGAAATATATTAAGTATATTTCAACACAGAATATATATTAATCATATAAAGTATCAAAGAAACAGATAACTTGATAAGATTCATAAAAAAATGGATGATTTCAATGAAAGTGAAAACATTCACAAATCTACTATATAAACGAGTATAATTGAAAACATGGACAAATTCAAAGCAGTAATAGTTTGAATTAAATGAAAATATTTCTTCATGGTCATCAGTGGTTTTATTTCTGGTTATCCATAACGATGAAGTTCGAGTGAACAAGTTATACAATACTGACACTGTGATAGAATTGTTTCAAGATAATCTATTTGACTAATTTTAAAAAAATTCCTAAATTTGCACTGTGTACTTATAAAAATGTAATTGTCAATATCTGAAGACAGATTTTCATTTTGATAATGAGGTGTAAGTGATTCAGTATTACACGTGTAACTCAACTTGTTTAGTAACATTGTTTTTCTGTGTCTAATCAACTCACCTAAATCCTACTTACAGTGTTCTTACTAATCAATAGGAAATCAGAGGTCACACCTGAGATTTTTTATTGATGATAGTTTTTAGGGAACAAATCTTAAATATTTCCACTCGTATAGAATTAATAAAACAGCGCACATATATCCAGATCATTTCAATTTCATAATATTCCATTTCATATAAGGTATAAAATTTATGGACATTTTGTTAATGAATACATTCAGCATTATAATATACCATTAGAAATAATACGTGAATAAGGACGACCATAGTGATGATAATACTTCACAAATAAAATCGATAGCATGTCAAAAGAAACTATTTGAATGAAAAAGTAATTTATAAAAATAGATGAATTGGTAATACAGAAAGTAACAACAATAATAACTTATTATTATTGTTATTGGTAGCACCACAAATATAAACAGATCTATGGCAAATATCATAACGGTAAAACTGGATGTCGTGCGTAAATGAGCAAGTGAAAATTAGAACATGACAATGCAGTGAAGATATGACGATGAAAATAGTGATATCGATTGATGATATATATATATATATATAAGCTTGGCAAAACAAGCCCCAGCATCAATATTAAAACTCACTTTGTCGTAGTAAAGGAGCTGTAATGAATGTTGTCCATTTATTTTACAGTGATTAGAACTGAGTAAATAGAAACCCAGAATTACTATTCCTTAATAATTAACGACATCGCTGAACATAAAATTCACATGAAACTCGCAGTAATCATCAATTGGTCCCAACAGACAATCGTTGCTAGATATTATAAAGAATTTACTTGAATAAACTGACAAATAGTTACCAGAGATGAGTGATTTGGGTAGTTAAATGTATATAAAATGAGTCATTTATTTGTGAACTTATTATTCAGACAGCCGGTTTCTTGAGTTCATGTACTGAGAACTGATTTTCATGTTGTTCTTATAAAAGTATTAAGTCATGTGCACGCAAAATAAGCATCATTATCTCTTAAGAACTCTGTATAGCTTCCGAAAAATAAAACCAATTCATTCTAATTTCAGTTATATAAGGTCAGCTATGAAGACGTGTTTAAATCCTTAATGCAGACATTGCATTCTGTCATTTAATCAAACGAGGAATCAAAGGTCAAATTCGATTATAGAAGAGTACATGAAATGAGTACTTAATGTATCGTGACATCGAATAACTAGTAACCTGAAACGATATATATTTTGTTAAAATAAACCACCAAGATTATTTTATCAGTATATGGTTTCGGAGATTGTTGAGTTTTGATTGAAATCATGAATCGATCAATGTTAGACCACTATTGAAAACCTAGAAGTACTGGATGGCCGTTTCGTCCTAGTACGAGACTCCTCGGCAGTGCAATGGTTGTCTAACATTGGTCCATTTAGGATCTCAAACAAAATTATTTCATGTTTATAATACAGAGGAAATCAATTAACTGAATTGAATTGAAACTACAACAGATCGCCAATGCACTTGATTTTGACTTTTGTGATGGATTTGCGAATGTCGAGTGAGAAGTTTATAAATGACGAAATCTCAAAACTTGGTCTTAGTGACTGTTTACATTTTCATAGTTTTTATTAATTTTTCAGCTAATGTTATTTAGTGATAGGAGCAATCTTTAAGTTGATAGATTTCTCATACACATTTGAGCGAAACAATTTATGTGATCCAAGTTCACAAGCAAAAGTATAAAAGTTCTATAATACCTTGCCTGGCAAATATACTCTGTGACGAACAGATTGTTAGAGTTAACCTAGTCAATAATAACCTGCATTCTTAACATGTCTCTAATTTGAAAAGTTGCACAGTTTTTTCTTTTTCTCCTTCTTTTGACTATTTTTTCTGTTTCTTTTTTGTATAAGAAACTTGTTGAAATACCCTGTGCCGAGAATTCCACATTGTACCAAAATAAAATATTGAATAAAGCCATTAATTAATAACAATAATTATTATTATAGTTTGTTTCTCCAAAATCTACATAAAATAGGTAATGAATAATAAAGTTCGAAATAATTATCCACAATGCCTGCAAGATCAATGGGTTGAAGCACGGTATTACGCTGAATCAATTGATTAGAATAGCCATACTACCTAATTTGCTTCATTTCGCAAACCTGGATGATATCTACTTTGCTCTCGAAAAATAATTAAGACTCATGATAAAAAACGTGTACTAGATATATACAACTTATATTTGAACACAAAATTCTTAGGACATGTCTAGGCAAAACAACAAGACGTAGTTAGGAATGATAGAGAAAACATACGAGTAAAAAGACTTTGTACAACAATACCAGTCAGTCTGCCAGTAACAACGTAGAACTTCGTACGTACGTACATCAGTTCGAGTTGCCACACCACGTTAGCACACAGATGTAGTGGTCGATTCAAATCCCGTAGTGATAGAGGCGGTAAGAGTATAAGCAGTAATCGGGAAGATTAGGGTTTGGAGATGTTATTTAAAGAGTATAATACAGTGAAATAAATTTGGAAAGAGAAAAAAAGAGACAAGGAGGAATAAGGAGATCAAAATTTGGGAGAACACAAAGAGTGTATGCACCTCCGCCATTGTAAACGATTTTGAGCCATGTCATTCAGGGTCTCTAACCATCGGTTGCTATCATCTCGCGGTCCCCAACCAGGTAGTCAATTGATTTGCCGTCCTTACCTAGTACCTGTTTCCTAACAACTGCATTACTTACTCGATGGTCCCATGATATACGAGCAATATTTCGAAGACACCTATAGTCAAATACTAGTAAGCTACGAATATCCTCTACTTTTACCGGCCATGTTTCACTGCCATAAAGTAGAATGGAACGAACTGCTGCACAGTAAACCCGTTCTTTGGTTGGTGGAGGGATATCTCGCGTACACCATAAATGACGCAAGTAGGCAAACGCTAGTCGAGTTTTCTGTATCTGTGCTGAGACTTCGTCACATGCCCGATTACAAAGGCTGATGAGACTTCCAAGATAAGTGAAGCAATCGACACGCTCAATTACTTCACTCCCTATCATTAGTTCGGGTGTCAATGCAACCCAATCCTGAAGCAACATTTTGCATTTCGAGGGGGAGAATCGCATCCCGAACATGCTTACATTGTTGCTTAGAGTGGTCAGAAGATTGCATTTTGTCAGCGTCTTCACCAAATAAAACTATGTCATCGGCATATTCTAAGTCAACAAGTGAACCTCCCGGTAGAAGTTCAACCCCTGGAAATCTAGACGAGGAAAGTATTATCTCTAAAAGTACGTCAATGACAAAGTTGAACAAGAATGGAGAGAGTGGAAAGCCCTGACGAACACCACTTGAGGTAATCAATTCTGATGACAGTTCGCCATAAGCTCTCACTCGACCAGTTGTGTTTGAGTAGAGAGCCTTTATAAGGTTAATGTACTTCTTTGGTACTCTTTTCAGTGACAAACACTGCCATAGAACCTTACGATCAACAGAGTCGAATGCCGCCTTAAGGTCAAGAAATACTACCATTGTGGGGCGTCTGAATGTGGGTCTGTGTTCTAGAACCTGACGTAGTGTGAATATCTGATCTATACAACCACGTCCAGGTCGAAAACCAGCCTGATTTTCTCTAATCTGTTCTTCATGAGCTTTGGTTATGCGTCGAAGTATTATTGAAGCTAATATTTTAGACACTATATTTGTCAAACTGATTCTTCTGTGATTGTCACAAGAGGACATTTGTCCTTTCTTATAGACTGGCACAATCAGTGATTGAGACCAGTCAGATGAGATTACGTCCAGTTCCCAAATTCTACCTAAGACCTCAGTTAATCTCACTGCTAATACTGGACCACCATCCTTAAATCTCAGGAGTAAACCTGTCAGGGCCTGCTGCTCTCCCTCACTTCAGATTTCCTATGGCTTTTTCAACTTCGTAAACGGACGGAGGACCTACATTAACTTCCAATTCAGGTTGACTGGAGATTGTGGGAAACCGAAGTGTGGCTGAAGGCCAGTTGAACTGATCCCTAAAGTGTTCTGCCCATTCATCCAATCTCCTGGATTGAGAATGTATGATACGTCCATCTTTCTCTGAGATTGTTTCGCTAACAGTCGGGTTCCTAATACCGGTTTTCTTAACAAGTCTGAACAATTGTCTGCTATTACCTATTGCCGCTGCCTTTTCCATCTCTCTTGCTTTCGCTACCCACCACGGTTCACGATCATTGCGTAGACTTCTTGTCAGCTTGCGCTTAAGCTGACTCCGCTCTTCATTATGTTCAGAGCCGGGTGGAATGAGTTTCCGAGCATCTATCAGTGCGATAGATGCTGCTGAGATCCAGTGTTGCTCTCTAACCTTATGGTTTACCTTGCTGTTTCCACAGCTTTTCGGATATCATTCCATGCTGCTTCGTGGTAGGCATCACATACATGGCTGCCTAACTGTTTTCCTAGTTGTTCCTGAAATATACTCTTAGCTTGACTATCATTAAGTAGAACACTAAGAGGTTTACTTGCAGCGTCTTTCCTACGTCCAGTAAGACGCAGACAGATACGCGCTCGTACTAGAGCATGATCTGAATCTAAGCATGTGCTCCAGAATGAGTGACAGTCTTCTATCGAACCCCTCCATCGGTGGCTGATAGCGATGTGATCTATTTGGGTCCAACGTTGGGACGAATTAGGGGGTCGCCATGTTAAAAGATGTTTTTCTTTATGCTTAAAGTTAGTACTTGCAAGGAACAGGCGGTTATCTGAGCATAGCTGCAACAGATGGTCGCCATTGTGTTCTTTGAGCCACGATGCTATAAATTCCACCTATATGTCTTTCCCGATCGCTTAGTTTACCTACTTGAGCATTAAAGTCACCGGCCATTATTACTACATCCGAGCGCCTAGCTTTTCGGAGAAGGTCGGAGAGCTTTCTGTAAAACTCATCTTTTACATCATCTGCGCTGTAGTCCGTGGGAGAATAGGCAGAGACGACGAAGAGGCAACGACGAGTGTCCCTATCTTTCCGGATCCTTACTGTTTCGTTCAGTCGGACAGCGCACAAACGACTGTCTACTGGGATCCCCTCTAAGAGAGCTAGTTCTGCCCTAGGACTCAATGCTATACCTACGCCGGCGAGGCCACGGGAAGCAGAATCTGGGCTTCCAGATACACGAAGTGTGATTCGAGTCGGTTCTTTATTTTGGCATGGTGAGGTCAAATGAATGACGCTACTCGGATCCTGTATGCGCGTTTCGGAGACGCAGCACACATCGATGGCGCGGGATTCTAAATTCTTAGCTAAGGAAGCCTGCTGTCCTATTTGGCACAGTGTTCGGACGTTAAAAGCTCCTACGTGTAGTTTAGAGCGTGGTTTCAGGAGACCAGGAATAACGTTCCGCGTACACGAATCGTTTGTCCTAGCAGTGCGAGGTGATAAAGAGACGTGAGGAGGGTTAGTCATTGAGATAAGAGAGGTATTAGAAGGTGTAGGAAGGATTCGAATGTGACCAACTTGGTCTCGTGTGCTGTTACGGGTATGAGGGCTGATATCACTTCCCGGCTGCCAACACCGCGGAAGGGTATTTCTTGAAGAACCTGAAAAGGAAGTTGAATTAATGTTGGTCTTAACGACCTGGGAGCGTGACTGAAGAGCCCAAGGGACAACTGCTTGAGGCCGGTCGCGTACAGCCTTTTCGTGGAAGGTTTTTAATGTGTTAGCTCCGTTCTTTAAAGGGCCTTACCACCGGAGACGGAAACCCGTGAGGTAAGGTGAGGTGTGACATTTTTAGGGTCAACCTTTTCTAACCCCACCCCTCCTTGTGGTAAGGCAGCATCGCTGTCATGCTGGTTGTCCGAGAGAAACACCTTACTGCTGTTACACATCTCTACAGTCAGCAGTACGACTTCACCCTCAGACCTTGAGTTGCTGCTTTCAGTCTTACCGTTCTCCAATAAACCTGCCTGGCATGGTAGAACCTACAGGGACATATCTTCCAGCCAATATAACTCGGTTAGGTCATCACGATAGGCAAGCCCGACCACCACGTCAAGGCAGCAGCTTCGGTCAGGACAACAATACCAATAAAAAGTCATAGCCCATGGAACAAGCTACAGACTTTCGCCCTAGCATGCGATTCCTCATCAATGCGCACCCACTACTCCCTATCTGGAAATTGAACTCAGGACATTCGGCCTCCTAGACCACTGAGATGGCATCCAACGTAACACATGTTTATCCAATCTTCTGGAGTGTATATATCAATTTTATTTATAGAAATAATGGTGAGTTTGAAATGTTATTAGAAAATAGTGAAACAGTAGAAACTCTTACGTAAACGTCCAGCAAGACCACTAAATAAAATTGATGCAGCATTCGTAAGTATATCGTTACGTTGATCGGTTTTAAGCGCATCGATAGCCATTCCACCACCAAATTTAAAACAAATGATCCATAAGATTAGTTTAGTCACTATAAATGATAATAAATATGAAAAGGGCCAGTAAATTTATCATTCAATCAGTTAATCAAGTAATATAGCAAAGAGATAGGCTAACTTTGTCAATTATTTTTCCAGAGAAATACAACTCTAAATTTCAAGTAATAAAGGCATGGAGTTGGGGATTACTGAACATTTTATAAACTGGAGGATAGTATCAATCTTGAGGTAAGCAGTATGTAGTTAAAACATCAGTAGGTGATTAACTGATTCGTCAGTGATTACTAGTTGTCTACAATAAAATGTAGGAGAAATCCAGCTAGTCTATTGCAATCATTTAAGAATTTGAGCGATATATACACCCGTTTCAAAAGGTCATGAACTTATGTATAACCATCGTACGGTCCTATTTTCTTCCCTTAATATCTGTTCATACGCACACGTTGACCATCCATAATTACTTTTGATTCCTGATTATTTGAATGTTTTGTAAGCTATATATAAATATATATAGTTTTCTGAAGTATAAAAAGAGTATGTAACAGATCAAAGTAAAAATAGATTACTGATAAAAGATAATTGTTAACTTGAAGAATATAAAAAAATTGTAAACATTCGGTAGTATTGAGTGATAAATTGTTGATAAACATTAAATACAAAAGTGAAGTTGTGCAACGATGTAACGGCTAATGAAAAATGTTAACATAATAATATTTTATTGGAGAGAGATGACTATACATTTGATGAATATGAAAAACAGAATAATTACATTTGATAATAGCTCATTAGTAATTCGGAATAATCCCTTTCATAACCAACCAGAGTAATGCTCGAAAATGAAATTATAAAGAGCTCTCTTTGTGTAGGAAGTATACTAATATAATTTACTGATGAACTACAAATATGATTACACAGCTTCAGTCAGTAATATCGCCACAAAACAGAGTTACTTTGATACATTGGCTATATTTATTCTTCAATGACACAGTGGAAATTCATTGCATTTCATGTATTTAAAATATTTCGCATAGCCACTAACTTTTATAGACAAAGTGTTTTATGAATGTGATTTTGTGCACAATGTTCATAAAATAGTATAGTTTAACACAGAAAACTAACTACAATATTTTGTAAATTCGTATAAGCTCAATCGATAGAGGAATAGTGTATATGACCACAAGTAACAAATGAGAATTATTATTAGTGGGGAAGAAAACATGATATGATATAGTGACTTCAAAAAATAGTTAATTAATCTGTATAATAGTGATAATACTAACAATACATGATTGAGTAAAAAGAAGTACTGCTTTTGTTTATGTAGAAATCTGTCGTTGTACCGAGTATTTATTACTTCAAATGTTGTACTGAGATTTACTACACGTTACATTTTATTGCGATATCTCTCTGTGTTACTACTGGGAATTCTGGGATTATTTGCCATCAAATTACTTGTTGTGTGTCAACAGAAGCTCTCAGTGAAGACCCTCTATACTCTTGCAACATGGATGCTTCTGTCATTACAAATTAACAGGTAAATATGACAATAGAGACTTAGTCGGTACGTTCAACTCTCTGATTATATCTTTTGTGCTATATAAGACAATTAAATTGACAATAGGTAAAGTGAATGAAATATTGGCTACTAATCAACAGGTATTTTGTGGGTCTAGGTCACAGCTTTTCAAATGAAGTTTGAAAACACAATTTATGAACATTAAATATAATTCTTACCAATTACGGATGCCATTATTCCCAATGCTAAATCATTAACGTTTGGTGCCTCTTGATTATTTTGTGACATACGAACAATGGCTTGTACAGATTCAGCTACAAGTTGTATAGATATACTACCCATAAATACAGAGAGTACAATCACTGCTAATGGTTCAAGTCGTGTTCTCCCTAACAAGGAGATAAAATAACAGCATTTTAGAGACCTTATTTCTCTTTCACTTTCAGATGATTTTCAAAAACCCAACATTAGAATAAAAATGATTGATAAATATTTCAGTAAATTTAATAATTGTAAAGCATAAATAATAAGTATCTTAGAAATGTACACTAAGATCTTAAGTAATTATTACAATCATCTGGTTTAACAACATGGCTAAATGATGATGATAATTCTCTTTCAACGTTAAATAGAGAGAACAAATGATTAACAACATGCTGTGATGCATGTTGCTTATGCTTACGGGTACAAGTAGCATGTAGGAGCAATCGGAAATGAGATGCCTGCCAGCAACGGGTTGAGGTGATTAAATTAAAGAAAACAGGAAGGACAACTGAAAAAGGTGCAAATAATTTATTCAATGTATCGTTTTCATATTATACGAAGGCACTTTGTAAGTTTGCATTAGACAATCAATTGGTGTACCACACCTGAGTTCTCGTTCACTTCAATGTGACTGCGTTAATTTTTGTTATCGGATGTCACTGTTTATAACTTCTTGGCGACTGGACTCATAACTTAGTTCTATATTTTGTTAAAATTTGGTAACTAGTTACTGAAAGATATGCACTTTGTCTTAAACAATTTAGAAGTAAATTGTTATGATATGTTACTTATTCTTTCTTCATACTATATCTGAACATTTCAGTAGTTTCGGAAATAATCAGTCTGATTAAGTAAAGGCTTGTAAATAGATACTTACAGTAAATTGATGATAGTGTTCAATTAAAAATCGAATACATTCACAACTTTTGTTCGATAACTAGATGAAGTGATAATTTGAGAATTAATATCGATGTATAAAACATCATTTAAAAAACGAGAACTCTAAAAGATTGCCAAATGTAGTGACAGAAAAGTTATATGTTGACAAATGTTTAAAATGTGCAGAATTCTTCCAACACATCATTCACCAGTCCATATTTTGAGAGTCATTCATACTGTTAGTGGAATCAACTGCATGTCGTATTGAAAAGACCATTTAAAACAACTGTAACAACAGTTTAAAATAACCAGCCTACAGACCGTAGATCATTTTATGATGAGTTAAAATATTTTTAAACCAAATTACCTTCTGGGTATTTGTATGGCTTCCTTTTACGCATTTGACGAGCAGCAAACCACATGATTCCACCGGAAGCCAAATCGACACAACTATCTAACAAAGATGATATGATTGCTAATGACCCTGATAATGCAGATGCTACAGCTTTACCCAATAAAAGTACCTATATTGATGTAATTCCAAATGGGCAATATGATAATTAAAAGTTATCAAGTTATTTTCATACATACAATGTAAAATCGTTAGACAAATAATAACACTACTAGAAAATTATATTTTTCATTTAAAATTTCACTGAATAAAATATAAATTGATTTCATGGTGAAAGAAGTGTCACATTCATAAAACGTAAGGAGAATAAACTAGTGTAGGAATTATATCAAAATAAAACCAAACGTCTAGCGTAAAAAATTAGAAAAGAGGTTTTACTAGTTCGTTGTTTCAAAGAGGATGAACTCAAAGAAAATTGCTTGCTTAATCCAAGACACCAGTAAACTTAATCTCCCTATATTCACTGGAATGGTAACAAATTTACACGTCACTTCAGTAGCAAATGATTGTTTTAATCTTAGTCATCTAATAATTATATCAGCCTTATGCTATGGAAAAAACGATTTGATGTTTACGATCCGTAAAGCACTAAACTTATATTACTAGAAATTAACATTTTGCGTTCGTTATGAATGACTGGTTATTTGAAATCACTAGTCGTCAATTAAACGGGTATTGCTTAAAGCGAAAGTAATAAAGCAAATGGAAAATCTGCAGATGGTGAACTAAGATCAATCGAAACACCAGATGACAGATTACTAGTTTGTAAACTTATTATATATTCTAAATAATTTTCCTATGTTACAATAGCTAGATGGAAACATGTAAACGCTGAGCATTAATAACTTATTAGAATTTACCAAGGATAGTTCATTCTGCATTAGAATGAAATTTCCTTCCTTTCCGTTTTAGTAATGTTCATGAACTAATTATTAGTGATATTATACTTACCACGTTGGCACAAAATACAACACCAATAATCATTGTATTAATTCGCGTTTGCCGCCTAATAGAATGATGATTGGAGGTTACTTCTACATCGGAGGTTTCTGCATCCATAATAGTTGCGATCTTCTCCAATTCACGAATATGTTCATCTTGTCGTCGATAAAACTCCCTAATTTTAGAGAAAATATAAAATATGGATATCTAAGTGAATTTAACAGGGTTAATTCAACTACATAGCAATCTCAGAACATCTAAATACCCCAACTCCGTATTTCCTTAATAGATGCTGTTGTCTGTTCGCGTCTTTTATTCGTTCCTATGAGACCAAACAGGTTGACATTTATGAGCTAAAATCAGCAAATTGACAAGATCTATACTACAAACAAAATGAACTTAGCCTACTTATTGGATTCTATTGATATAATTAAGAAGGCCTGGAAACCCTATTCATGATGTTGACAGAAAATAAAAGTAAATGTCTTGAGTGCAGTTAAAAATATATGGGCGATTATCACATCTCGGATGCCTACACTGTGGAAAGGTTTTCCTGGAGGTACTTGAAAAGGAAATTCGATTAGAGGTGGTCTTAGTGACCTAAGAGCGTGACCACAGTGCCCAAGGGACAACTGCATGAAAGGTCGGTCACACGCGACTTTCGTGTGAGTAATTTTTGTGTTAGCTCCGCAATTGTTGAAGTCGTACCGCCAGAGACGGATATCCATCGGATAAGCCAAGGTATGCATTTTGGGCGTCAACCTATTCTAACCACACGCCTCCTTGTGGGAAGGCAGCATCGCTGTCATGCTGGTTGGCTATAGAACTGTAATCCTTAGATGCAGCATTTACAAAACAATGCTAAGCGTGAAATAATTTACTTTAAGTAACTCACACAACATATTTACGTTTTCTATGGTTTATGTAAGTTAACACCTAAAGAAATGATATTTTTGTCTATTTATAACAAGAACTTGAGAATTCGCCTCTTTGATACTGAATGCTACCTAAATGTTGCTTTCACTTATTTGTTTCGCATTGTAGAAAAATGTTATTCTACAACTGAAGTAGCAAGCGAATTCAATGAATATTCGACGACGGGAATTGGATCTATTCAATAATCTACCCAATGATTATAAAAACCGCTTACATTTTCTACCACTTTCTATGCATTGAAATCAAGAGTTTCTTATACTTGCATTTACGTTTCACCTACTCGCCATCATTAAAATAAAAAGGCATTTTATTGCGATCCGTGATACATTCTGCAGAAACAACGTGTTGTTAAGAAACAGCTTTTGCAGACAATAGCAAAACTTACATGACTGACTTTGAAGTCGTCTTAGTTTTCTTAATGTTAGAGCTTAATCTCTTCTGAAAAACTTCAATAGGATGCGTTTTCCATGTTTCACCTGTGACACAGTTATAAGAATGGAATAGCAACAACAGAAATAAGTCACAAATTATTCCAAGCGTTTACTTAGTTTCTAAAACGTAAGTGACAGCTTGATGTAAAAACTTGGAATTAATTATGACAGTACATTTTATAAATGGGTAAATCTTGCTGATAACTAATTTGGGTAGGCCTGAACACGTAGGCCTTAAAATGAAATAATTTCCAACTGCTCTAAATAAAACCATAGTGAGTATCATTACCAAGGTTTGACTTGATAATTCCGAATAAATTGAGCATTGGGTAGATTGTTATAAATATAATAATATAGTTGTAACCTAAGAAGGGATTTTGTGGATATAATAGTAATTTGAATAGTTGAGAGCATGAGTCACTTGAAGCTAGACCACTATGAAAAACCCGGAAGCACTGGACGACCGTTTCGTCCTATTATGGGACTCCTCTGCGGTGGATGTATCGCCCAATTTCGTGAATTAGTTGGAGTTATACATTAACACCGTTGCATGCCAGCTCAGTGGTCTAGAGGTTGAGCGTTCGCGCGCGAGACCGATCGTACCTGTGTTCGAATCTTGCGAGGCGAGATTGTGGATGCGCACCGTTGAGAAGTGCCATAATTGGACGAAACGGCCGTCCAGTGCTCCCAGGTTTTCCATGGTGGTCCAGCTCCAGTTAAATCACGATCTCAACTATTAAAATATTTGTGATATCCAAATGAGTAGATTTTCTGAAGTTTCGTATCTAAGTGTAAGCCATTTCTTCAAAGAGTAAGTAATCAAATCAAAATTAATCCAAGTTTAAATGGTACGAAGGAACAATTTTTTATACTTGGAATAATTTTGATTTGGCTATTTACTCTCTGAAGAAGTGGCCTACACTGAATGACGAAACGTCAGAAAATCTCATTTTTTCTACTTATTGGGATATTACAAATACATTATATATCATAGTAAATACCATTTTTTAAAACTTAGTGAATTTTAAATTTTTATTTACCGACACTACACTCATTTGAAAGGAGGACCTGTAGACTGTAAGATAGTTGCTAACATAATTACCTTTAAAAATCAGTATCTATATTACCACCTGAATTTCAGACAAGTATTCAAAACGCCTAAAAATATTTATTTGTACTTAGATGAATAGTTAACACAGTTGGTGTGTGAATAAATGCTTAACGTTGTGTTAATCTGTTATAATAAAAAATTACGATCACATTTTGAACATTTTAGATTCAACTTCTTGATTGGGTTTTATCGAAGCTCGAGCCTTTTTGGAATAAATAGCAATTCGTTAGCCTATTCATAACACATCTGGAGTAGCGGATAACCTGGATTCTAAAAATAATGAAAAGTTACCTATTGTAGCGTTACCTTTGGAATTGGAAGATTACCTGGACTGTTTCAAAGCTTGGAATTTACCTTAATTCCAAGGAAGATAACACTTTAGCCAATTTATAAATTCCATTGATAGAGAAGCCTATGACCCATTAGAGAATACTGAATGAATACAAAGATAAATTCTTGCTTTATTCGACAAACTAAGACTACTGAAAAATTGTTTACAACTGACATGAAATCACACAGTTCAGCAAACTACCTCATGCTCTGAAATTGACAATAAGAGGTTTTATACCAAAGCTTCAAACACAGGCTTATTAGTACAGTCTCGGTAAATAACTCCGTACTCAACCCCGCAACTATCTGACTTTAAGTTTCAGGAGTCCTAAACTCAGGAAACAACTCATACAAAATCATAAGCGTACTTTTCAAATTGCCAAACATTTCCGTTCTGAGTGCGAATATGTCACTAAAGGTCTTAGCAACGGCTTTACGATACAAAATGGTCGCACACTTGATACAGAAGTTAACTAATAGCACGGTCAAGTTCCATTTACGAATTATTGATCATAGTAACATAGAGTCAAGCATTTTGGAGAGAAATCTTTTCAGAGAAAGTTTATCTTTTTAATATATAAACTGATTCTATTTTGTTTGGAATACATTATGAAGAATGAGTTACATAGACTGGTTAGAAAAGGGATAGCAATTTGTTTTGGCGAGATACGCCATATAGTTTAATAAAATCTTAGTGAAAGCTAATTAGCTAAACACAAAGGCTTTAATATGTTTTAAAATGAATTGATCAAGACCCGTATATCTAGTGAGAAAATAGGTAGCAAACTTCAGGTTTTGGGAACAACAGTTGATTACGGTAAGAGTACAAATTTGACAGTGTTTTGTTTAACAGCAAATTTAAGGAATCCCCGTATCTAATGAACCTTGAAGTACAAAACTATGGCTGATCCACTTCTAGCTAATCTTAGAGTTGATAATACAAGCCATTAACATTAGAAATGTAGTCTATTTACAATTAATCTTTCAGAATACTTTAACGTACTGAGTTCAGGCAATAAAACTATTCTTCAGGAAACGATTCAAAGTGCATCACCATTTTAACTTCAGGGTCTATTAAACTACTCAAGATTCCTAGCATTTCAATGGCTCTGATGTTAGTAAAAGTAAACAAGGTGTACAACCATAGTTGCACAAATAGTGGAATAGGTTGACAAGTTGTAAAACAACTCAAAGTAAAATCGTCACCAGACTCAAACAAGCAAAGATACCATGTATTTCCTGTTCAAATAGAAAAAGACCAATTTTACGCCTGATACCAAAAGAAAATCGATTTTCCGTTGTTTAGTCTACAGAAAATTAGCAGTCTAGCTCTCTACTATGCTGATCGACTGGATCATGAAGACGTCTTACCCAAACAAATGGCATCAGTCTCATCAGTGAACGTTTCAATGCGAAGCTAGACCTTCAATGGAAAATAGGCTGCAAGAATAAACACAGGTCCACCGACCTACTATCCTGACTGAAGGTCCATCGTTGCTATAATGGCACATAGAGAGTTAATACGACCTGTCGTCACGTCGGATCTACATTCTCAGGACTTTGATCCAGAAGAGCAGGCCAATATCTGTCACAACGACTAGTCATCCGAGTTTTCATACATAAAGTCGGGAATCCCAAACCAACGACCAACTCAAATGTTTGGATAGTGGTTCATCCCAACTAATACCAAACAAAAATGGTTGGTTGTTGAAATGCTTAAAGATTATTAGTTTTTCAAGGCCTACCGAAGCAAATGACCAAAGCGTTATTTTATATTTCACAGATCCGAATGTGATGGGAAACATGAGTAACCATTTCTACATTACTCATCGACTTTGAGTATCCAAACTTGGATACTATTAGTAGTAAAGTGACGGTAATATTTACCATATACTGATGGAAAAATCATATTATTAGACTATTTATGGTCGCACAAGTGAAAACTAAGGACATTTAGTCACTCTTACCACACCACTATTCACCAAGCTGGTGAGTCAAACAGTACTGTTTGGTAACGTGCGTGTTGTTGGGATAATTTTTATATTCATAAAAACTTATCCTTATAGCAGTCAGAGGAATATCATGTAAACCACACAAAATAATGTTCAAGAACTTGCATGGTGAATTAAGAGGAATTGAATTGTTCTCCGATAAAGTGTTTCCTGACTCTATTTCCTCTAACTTTTTTGAAGCCATTGATATTGAAGTACAGAACAAGCGACACTTTAACTCAGTCTCCATTGCATTTTCTATTTGCTTTCCTAACATTGATAGATGAAATAAAGAGTGACAGAAACACCGATCAAGGCAATATCGTCTGCTAACTAACAACGAGCATAAACGTGCGCGAAATTCTAACGGGTGTGCATGCGAGTCAATATGTGGTTGAAGAGACTAAACACAAGCCGCATAATTTACAAAACATTCTATGCAATTATAAGTAGTCGAAATTATAAAGTCATACCACTAGTCATCACAATAGGCGAGGAGTGATCTGAAGCGGTAAATAAATCCACAAAATAAATAGCTCTGTAAGTTTTCAACATTGGATGCTGACTACATTAGTCTCAATGGACTCACCTAGCTGAAGGCGCTCGGTCAAACATCCACACCTGATCACGAGTGAGAACGCCGTGCTCAACATCCCCTGCAATCGCTAGCCAGATTAGATCAGCCGGTCCTCGATATATTGATAGCCTATCAAATATGCCTTCGAACCTCCTCACTTCTGACTTTTGATTTCACTTGATGGGTACGCTTCATATTAGGTGTTACTGGTTAAAGCGTTGTCGAACTCCAAATACCTTTGGCCTCTTCATACTCAATTGGAAAGTTTGCCCAATATTAAAATTTCAACTGTCTAAAACGGAATACTGCCATGACAGTGTGGAAGTTCACATTGACCTGTCCACCCGAGTGATTAAACACAGTTTCATTCGACTGTGTTCGTCATTTCCTACGTTTGGTGTTATAACGCCGGTTATGTACTACGTTGGAGTTTCGGCACCGATTATTATTCAATGGCGTCATCGGATTTCTCTTTCGCATCACGCCATCGGTGCCACCATGTGCAGAGGAACGTTTGTTAATTAAGTAAACTCGTTTGTAGTTGATATCACTTTTTTATTATACAACTCTGTTGTGAGTGCTATGTGTTACTGTTTTGTTTTATCCATAAACAATAGCTGCTGTTTATAGTGTTAGTATTCTTTTTGGTATATTGTTGGCAATTTTATGCATTGGTACACCTTGAGTGGGTTCTTCGACTATGATCCACCATACATCTGACGACTCTGATACTTCACTTTTCTTGTATTTATTTTCGTTCATTAATTATTAATAGCAGAGTGACTGAAGAAACAGTGGTAACGAGACGGGGTAATTATTTGTTCGGTTGCAGATATGTACGTGAAAATACCACAGGTATTCGGAGTTTGACATCAATTTATCCAGTAACACTCTTAATTGTGAATCGTACCCACCAAGTGAAATCAAAAGTCAGAAGTGAGGAGGTTCGAAGGCATATTTGATAGGCTATCAATATATCGAGGACCGGCTGATCTAATCTGGCTAGCGATTGCAGGGGATGTTGAGCACGGCGTTCTCACTCGTGATCAGGTGTGGATGTTTGACCGAGCGCCTTCAGCTAGGTGAGTCCATTGAGACTAATGTAGTCAGCATCCAATGTTGAAAACTTACAGAGCTATTTATTTTGTGGATTTATTTACCGCTACAGATCACTATCCATCTATGGGGGAGTGATGACTCTTAGAGTTTGCCAGCCAGAAGTTTAAACCTAACAAGTTTGTCGTTCCTAAACACTCTTCTGATAGCTTGCCATTTTCCGCACAGTTTGGTTGTCTTTCCTTACTGTAGGAGGACATGTGGTACAATATAATAATAGAGAAACAGGTACAATGAAGATTTTGGTTCATCGTTACTTCGTCGTTCTTTTTCCGTCATTTCCAGCCGTCCTGGAAAAGAAATAAAGGATTTTTTAAAAATGGTCTTACCTGTTTTTTTTAATACCAACTTAATATACACATATTAGTGAGCATATTTTCCAAAATACAACATTTTTAAATAGATATATAAATAGGAGCATATTAAAATCGTTTTTAATGTTGTATATGATACGAAGAAAAGTCGAGATGAAACAAAATGTTAACTACGGTCTTACGTGCGATAATCGTTTCAATGTTCTGAAAACCTCACTGTTCTTCCAGAGCGCGTTGTCTTGAGTTTAGTTTCAGATACTGCCAAATAACCATCGTGCTTGTTGGCTGTCGGACGAGGTATTATGAGTGTAGAAGTCGTGTCTTTCGGTTGTACCTAGAGAAAATCTACATGGATAGGGTTCCCTTCTGGATACGCTGCTTTGATGCGCTCGATGTTAATCTTATCGTCAGTTCCGTTCTTAGGTTTGCGCTGAAGAACTTTGAATGGTCCTTCGTATGTTGTTTCGAGAGGTCGTCGATGTGAGTCTCGTCGTACGAAGACGTGTGTACCATATAGTAAGTCAGGTTGAACGAAAACACCAGTTGATTGCGGTCGGATGGAAAAAAGTTTAATTGAACGCATTTCGTTTGTAAGCCTGCTCGAGTAACAGGTTGGATCTATATTCACTGAAAATGAGGGATCCTCGAATTTTCATGGAATTTGAGGTGTTATTTCATAAATGAGTTGAGCTGCAGTGTATCCAATATCAGCCTTCATTGCATTGCGAATGCTAAGTATGACGAGCGGAAGAGGGTTGGTCCACTGTGAAACGTTTGCGGCTGATAGTGAAGCGTTCTATCGACGCATTTGCTTGTGGATGGTAATCGGCCGTTCGGAAGCGAGCGATTCCTAATAGTGTGGTCAGACAATGGAAAATTCCAGATTCGAACTGGTTTCTACGATCTGTAGTGATGGTTGAAGGGCAGCCGAAGTTTGCTACCCATCGTTTGACGAAGGTGCGGGCCACTGTTTCAGCAGTAATGTCCTTGATAGGTACTGCTTCTGGCCATCGAGTGAAACGGTCTACGCAGGTTAAGAGATAAGAGTACATATTTGAATCTGGTAAACGTCCTACCAAATACAGATGAACGTGGTCGAACCGAGCGTCTGGAGTTTTGAAGGAGCCTAAGGGACATTTGTTGTGTTTAATCACCTTAGATTTCTGGCAGCTTATACAGGAGTGTGCTCATTCCCCTACGTCTTTGCTCATACCACGCCAGCGAAATCGTTCTGCTGTGAGCTTGATGGTTGCACGAACACCTGGATGATAAGGTTTGTGCAACGTATTGAAGACATTGCGTCGATAATGTTTCGGCACTATTGGACGACCCCTACCTGTAGATGTGTATGACCTTTCCTTGAATATTGCTCTTTTATCTTCTCTAATATGAGTACCACAGAAAAGAGTATATGATCATAGACGCTTCACATGCCAACTGCTAGGAAGTAACTCCAATATCGATTACACAGATCGATGTAAGAACCTCCCTTCAGAACTATTATGGCATTGTACGCCTGCTCAACTATGATCCATGACTCAGCCTATAGACTAACAAACGATACATGTACACTACTTACCATGAAACACCAAAAACAAATGCGTTGCAGGCTTTTTACAGTGCGGCATAGATTATTGTGGAACAGGTTGCCAATACCTACCCGTAACTGTGACACTTTTACTAAGTTCAAGAGTCTAATAATCCTGTTTCTTGACTCCAAAGAGCTTCAACTACTCTTTGAACTATTGTCCACCAATGAGGCACAGTACTATGGACTACATAATATCTGGATGGAACAAGAATATGATGAGCCCATTGTTATTAATATGAATATAACTAGATTACAGAACATATGGTTTAACCCCCCTATTATTTACTGATTACTAATCATGGCCTTATGCCCCTGACCCTCACTTTCAGTTCCCGAATCCTTCTAATGCTTAAAGAAACATTATTCTTCCTAAGTGTCATGTCCTTTTATTTTTATTGCAAGTAGACAGATAACTCATCAATCTTATGGATGCTAATCAACTGAGGCCGATCATAAGAAGCTCAAAATGTCCTAAAGTCTTGTGAGTTGCTCAGTGTTCGATTTTTCTTACATTAAAAATTCGAGAATTTTATACTTTTTCATATCCTTTGATTTGCCATTAGTCCTTACCATCTCTTAACAACATATAATCTAACCTGTTTTTTAACTTTCAATATTAGTTATCTTCATAGCAAACACAGAAACTTAAAGGAAGGGGATGTAGTTCTAATGGCTAACGATGCAACTACTCGGGGCTCATGACCAATAGGACGAGTCGATAAGTGCGAGACAGATAGAGATGGGTTGGTAAGAACAGTGATGGTGCGTATGGGAGAAGGGGTAGTAAGAAGAGATGTGCGAAAGCTCTGTCTTCTAGAGGGAGCCGAGTAATTGTAGGTTAGGTTTATGGAAGTACAGGCGTACTGTTGTAAATCCTGTGCTTCCCATTGAGATAGAGCGGTTAGTAGAGAGAGCCATGACAGAAATGTATTCTAAGGTGTCTTTGCGTAGCTGGAGAGATTTTGGGGGCCGGTGTAACGGAAAGAAAACGATGAAAATCCCTCTGCAACTTCTTTGTTGAATAGTATTGTCATTTACTTGTTTCTTCTTCCTGTTGTGTATTTTAACCTTTGTTCCGATCTCGTTTAACCATATCTTTTGTTTTACAGTCTTCTTCGTTTGGGCCTTTATTATGGGATTTTGATTAAAGACATATCTTTTGTTAGCTAATTTTCTATTGCATGTTGTCGGACCACTGACAGTAAGGTCGTGTTTGACTAAGCTCAAGGTCACGGCATGGTTCAGTGTGTGATTGTGAACCTTCTGACTGTTTGCTTGGGATGATCGCTTGTATCCCTGGAGATAGATATTTGATCCCATCTTGTTGGGAATATTTGTATTGATTCCCAGGTATCAAACCCTTTAGCATTAACTGTTTCTTTCATCGTTTAGCGCACTACTTTGCGTTAGAGAAACTTCTGACTGTATAGCACAGGCTGTACCGTTTGAGTTGTTTTGTATTTTTGATGTAATTTGTTCTGTTTTCTTAATTAAAACCGTTTATATTGAGCACAGAGTTTGTGTTTTTATATAATATAATACGAGTATCTCGAAGACGCGTTGTGAGCTAAACAGAGGAACTTGGTCTGCTCTAATCGAATAAATTTTGGGTTCGTCAGTCCGTTGTTCCATCCGAATATTGGTTGTTCGGTCGCAACAATAGCAGTATGATATATTAAATGGACATCTAACCCATAATATCATTTTTTTTAACAAACTGACTTACTTGTAACATGGAACTAGTAGAGACAGTGTATTACAACTATGGGCTTTGATTAGAGCAGTATTCATACTTACCACAAACGTAAGAGAGCCT